CCCCCCCCCACTCCCCCTTCAAATAATCGGTTCTTCAGAGCGACGATGGGCGCCGCGGTCGACGTCGCAGCATGCGGCGAGATCATCGCGGCATCGGAGCGCGCGGGCGACAATGCACCTGCGCTGCCCCCCCCCCCCCGCGGCGCGCCACGAAGGCGCAGTGGAGGCGCTCGGCGCCGTTCGATGCACGTCGAATCTGTAGAGACTGCCGACATTCAGCTGCCGCCGCCCCGAAGAGGGCCCTCGCCCTCCGAATGCGCGCTGAGGGGTCATCTGGGAGGGTCAGCGCCCTCGGCTGCCCCGTCGCCGCCCGCCAGTGAACCGAGCCATGTCCCCGCGGATGGGGCCTGGTCGGAAAATTTCACGCCGCGGGCCCCGGCATTCGCGAAAGGCGCCGCGCTGCGCTGCAACCTATCCCCGGGGCCGAATTCACCCCCCGCAGGAAGCCCCCCGTCTTCCATCGGGATAAAATTCCAGTCGCCACCAGAACCAAACCGTGATCTGCATGGGGGTTAGCGCATCCAGAATCGTCTTCACACGAAGTATTTTTACACGCTAGTATGGTCGCATGCGTTAGGCATGTGAACGTTTACAATCGAAAAATCCCGAAGCATGGGCGCCCTCCCCTCAACCACCCCCGGTTGGGGCCGCGCGCGGGAACAGTGCTAAAGAAGACCCAGAGACAAATGTGACGACGCCTCTAGCTGCCCCATGATCCAGGCAGCTGCCATACAACGTGCCCGTGCTTATCTCGTCAGCTATCGTGGCCAAGTCTGCCCTGGATCCAGGCGCTTCCTGGAGACATGAAATATGATACCTCTCCAGCGACCTCTCTGCCTGCTGAAATCTTGAGCTCTCTCTGAAAGAAAAGGGAATATATGGAGGCAGGGAGAGTGCTAATGTTCCACGTGCAGGGCGTGGCCGGGGTAGAAAGACGATGCGCTCCGCCGGCAACCCCAGCCAGCGGGGTAGACAGCTGCGACGCTGTGTCAACTGAACTACAAGTGGCACCGAGCTCAAGAGATGGTGGGCCCAGTTAAGCCCATCGACGCAGAAACCTCGCAACTACTCCAGTTAGGCCCCTTCTCTCCAGAACAGCTGTGTGCTCGCCGAGGAAAAATAAGCGAATCTCCGAGAAGCGGAGCGCAAGCAAGGCGCATGCGTTTCCCCTTCCGATCTCGGCCAAACCTGTTTCGTCCAACATCATGTCCACACTGCCAGCCGAAAGGGCGCGATCGACAATAGAAATCTGCACGGCAGGAAGAGGAATGACAACCTTGGTCGCACAGATCGCACCCCCGATTCCCGTGGAACCGACGCGCTCATGCGCGAAGATCTGTGCCACTGCCTGCCCCGTACCCCCGAAATTGTATAACAACTTGCGAGACGACTGAGGGTGGCCACGGCGGACGTGGAGCTCAAAGTCGATTCCGCCCTCTGGACCTGGAAAAGTGAAGGGTCCCTCAGCCATACACATTGCATGGCACGTGGGAGCCATCAGAGTGCTCGGGAAATCCATGCACACCTTGTCACTACAGTTGAAAGCCTTAACCTGGATGCTCGGGATCTCACTGTCCAGCGCGCATTTGTTTACGATGCGGGAAACTGCCTGGCGCACTGCGACTTCCACAAGAGGGTGACGGAATCCCCAGGCCGCCTGACGTAAACGGGTGCCGATATCACCTATTTCGATACGACGCCGGACCTGCCGCTCAAAGTGGTCACCATCGTCAGGGGTTCCCGTTCCAGCGATTGGGGCGCGCGTGCCTCCGACCTGTGCGTCCCTCCGACCTGTGCTTCCGCCGCTGGTTCCTGTTTCATCGTCTCAATGACACCCATCACCTCCTTCTTCATTTCCTTCTCAGCAGACGCACGATCCTGCGTGGCCTGCAAGAAGGCCTGTTCCTGGACAGCACAAGGATGTGCGACATTCTCCGTAGTCTTCGCGGCGTCGGCATGGGCGTTGTGCAAGCCCTGGAAGCTTTTCCCAGCCTGCAGCACCTGGCCCTGGATCCCCGAAATCTGCCGGTCCACCCCGGTGACTTCACGATCCGACTGCTGGGTGAAAAAGAGCGGCCGCCGAGGGCCAAAGGGCGCGGAGGAGAAGGAGGACGAGGAGGAGGAGCACGAGGAGGAGGTAGGACGAGGAGGAGGAGGAGGAGGAGGAGGAGGGAGGAGGAAGAGGAGGAGGAGGAACGATCCCCAAAACGACGCCCCCCCCCCCCCCCTCGTGCGACTGCATTGGGGTTGGCCTCCTCGGAGAGGAGAGGGCCCAGGTCGCCCCTCGGCCGCCCACGGTGGGCGCACCGCGCGGTCGCACCTCTAGAGCAGCCTGCAGTCGGGCTCGAGGGTCGTGCGCGGCAGCTCCCGGAGCAGCGACAGCCCCTCCTGCCACTGCCCACCTTTCGGGTCGGTCGAAGGATGGGGGGGGGGGCCTGGCGTTGTGCGGACGTCTCCGTCGATTCTCGGCGGCTTGCTGGCCTCGGGACGCCTTCAAGCAGGTGCGCCTCGCCGTGGGCGTTCCAGGCGGGCCTGGATCGTCCCGAACGGCCGCCGGATACAACAGGTATGACCCGAAAGCCACGCGACGAGGACCTCTCGGACTGGACGAGAGGAATCTGGCCCGACTGCCCACCTGCGGCGGCTCAAAAACACGGGGCCCTACGGTCGGGAACTTTTGCTTAGCGTGTCGCCGCGGCGACCCCAGCGACACGCTATGCCCTGCGAGCTGATAGCGTGTCGCTCCGCTCCGCGGGGTATGCGTCGGGCGCCCTGGCCATTCCAGGTCGCGCTGGCGCGCTCTGAAAGCGGTCCGCTTATGGAGCGATGTATCCAATAGGCCTGCCCGAATTCCACAACACCCGTCTTGTCAGGTTTTTGTTCACAGGGTGACCGACCCCAGAAGTTTCGGTTCTTTTCACAGGGCTGGCTTCTCGCCCTGGTCCGTGACTTGATGGTCTTGGGCCTGAGACGGGCCCCCAGAAACGCCCACATTTGGAGAGCTCACCTCCCTGCCCTGGTTCCAACACTTTTCCAAAAACTCTCGACACTCGACATTCGAACCGCGATCCTCTTTCTCCCGTTCTTCCTCCTCCTCCTCGTCGCCCTCGACGGAGGAGATCCTTTGAGTACGTGTGTATATATACACGTATATATATACACATGTGTGTGCGTATGTGTGCGTGCGTGCGCGTGTGTGTGTGTGTGTGTGTGTGCGTGTGTGTAAGTCGTACGAATGCAATGAGTACCGAGATACATAGAAAACTGGCATGGCACAACTCTGGACCCAGGCCGGGGGGCCTGTGTCCGGAGCGACCCCTGAGTGCACAAGACGGCCCCAGATGGCCCCGAGACGGTCCCGGAGGGCCCAAGGAGGCCCAAGGAGGGCCCGACGAGCGCCCCACAGACGGTCACGATGGGCCCAAGATGGACACTCGACGGTCCGACGGGCTCCCCAGATGGCCCCAGGGGGGCCTGAAGACGACTCCCAAGAGGCCCCTGGGAGGCAACAGGTTTCGGTGCAAGGTTCGTGCACGCGGCTTCTCGCTCTCCAGAGAGCCCGAAACGGCCGAAGAGGCCCGCGAGATCGCTCCAAAGTGGTCCAAGAGGGCCCCAAGACGAGCCCAGGACGGCCCAAGAGGGGCCCAAGACAGCCCCCAGACCCTCCAAGAGAGCCCCCGGACGGGCTCCAGGCAGCTCAATGAGGGCCCCAAGACAATCCATGCCACCAGACCGCCCCAGAACAGCCCCAAAAGGCACCCAATTGTGCCCTGAGGGACCAAGACGGCCCGGGGGCCTCGAGACGGCCAAAGAGCCCCCCAAGACGGCCTGAAAACGGCCTCAAGAGACCCCGAAGAGGGCCCACCTGGGATCCTGCATTTCTACGGCGACGGTCAGATAGTTCGTACAAACACATATGTGCATACACAGGGGTATATATATATATATATATATATATATATATATATCTATACACACACACACCTGCATGTTTGTGTGTATGTATGTATGCATGCATGCCTGGTATGTAGGTCTGCATATGTGTATGTATTCATGTTTGTGTATGCGTACATGTTTGTATGTTTGTCTGTATGTGTGGTTGTAGGTTTGCGTGTTTGTGTATGTATGTATGTTCATACGCATGCATGCATGGCCTGTTGTATATATGCGTGTATAGATAGATGTATACAGCTATGAACGCCTGTTTCCATATGTACGCACTTACGTGCACACATATGTGTACATGTATAGTTGTATGCACACACAGTTGTATATTTATATACACGTACACCCTTTCTCGAATATCCTTATAAGGGAAGCCCACCTCTGGTACATACATTCGGCCCTGGGCGCTACCACCAACGTGACATTCAAATCTTCGGTTTCGGGCACCCCCTGGGCCATCCTGCGACGCCCGAGCGGGCCCAGGATCGCTTCCCTGACGGTCTCGCGGAGCCCCGAAACGGCTCAATGCCGCTCCAGAACGGCCTATGACCGCTCAAAGAGGGCCCAAGGTGGCTTCAAGACGGCCCCAAAGGCCCCCAAGACGTCCCACGAGGCCCAATGGGACAACCCCGACGCAAAAATCGACGCATGTCCTTTGGCAAGCGTGCATGTTCAATCGATTCGCTTCTTTAGTCTCCGTGTCGTTCACGTCGGCTCAAGAGATCCCACAACTCACCCCAGGACGACCCAACAATTACCCAAAGGGCCCCATGACGGCCCCAAAGCCTCCAAGGCGGCCCAAGACGGGCGGCTGAGGGTTCCAAAAAGGCCCCCCAAAGAACCCCAAAAAAGGCCATAGGAGGCCCCTATGAGCGCCCAGAGGAGCCCAAGAACGCTCCAGGACGGCACAATCCCCCAAAGGCGGTTCCAGAGGCCCCTGGGACGGCCCAGGAAGGCGCCAGAGGGCCCAAACTAACCCCAAGAAGATTCTAGCGAAGGCCCCGAGAGACCACCTTAGTTAATGTTTGCGAAATTGTGCGGTACATACTTTCAATCACGTGCCGAAGTCTGAACACCGAGCTGCTCCCAAACCCTGAGTGCGCGACCTCGCGCCCGCACGCAGTGCGAGCGGTGCAACTGGCTTTCGAGGAGGACCCGAGACGGCCCAAGACGGCTGCGAAACTGCCCGCAGTGCCCCGCAAGACGGGTTCAGATGGCGCTATGAGCCGTTCGAGCCCTATGAGCCCTATGAAGCCTACGATCGCTATGCGCCCTCCAAGGGGCCCCCAAGACGCCTCTCCCCAAAGCCCTCTGAGGCCCAAGAGCTTCACGGGCCCATGAGCCCAACGCACTCCCGAGCCCCACGACACCTATGAGCCCGACGACCGCACGAGTCCTTCGAGCCTTGCAAACCCTATGAAGTTCGTCAGCGCTTCGAGCCCTCAGAGCCCTATCAGCCTCATCTGCCCTATAGCCCCTACGAGCCCTCTGCCACACGTAGACTCGCGAGCCCAATTCGCCATGTGAGCTTCATGGACCGCGCGAGCCGCATGCGCCCTGCGAGCCCTATTTCCCTTACGAGCCCCATGGGCCCTATGGGCCCAATGTCGCCTGTGAGCATATGAGACATATCAATCTCATGAGCCGCGTGGGCCCTACGAGCCTTATGACGCCCTGTCCCTCGAAAAATGGCGACCCTCACGGGGATGGCGCCCCTCTGGAAAGGCTGAAGCCTTCTGCCGGCTCTGTAGGCCAGTTGTGGTTCGGACGCCCTGGCCCCTCGAGAAGTGGCGACCCTCACGAGGATGATGCCCCTCTGGAGGGGCAGAAGCCCTCTGCTGGCTGTGGGCCAGTTCTGGGTCGGGCGCCCTGGCCCCTTCGAAAAATGACAACTCCCGAGGGGATGGTGCCCTGGCAGGGGCTGAAACCTTCTGCCAGCTCTGTGGGCCACTTGTGGTTCGGGCGCCCTGGCCCCTCCGAAAGTGGCGACCCTCAAAAGGATGGTGCCCCTCTGGAGGGGCTGAAGCCCTCTGCTGGCTCCGTGGGCCAGTTCTGGGTCGGGCGCTGGCCCTTCGAACAATGGCGACCCCCGAGAGGGCGGTGCCCGCTCTGGCGGGGCTGAAGCCCTCTGCCGGCTCTGTGAGCCAGTTGCGGTTCGGGCGCCCGGGCCCCTCCGAAAGTGGCTATACGTCAAGAGGATGGTGCCCCTCTGACGGCCGGCTCAAGCCCCCTGCCGGCTCTGTAGGTTGTGGCTAGGGCGCCCGAGCCCCCTCGGAAAGTGCCGGCCCTCGCGAGGATGGTGGCCTCTGGAAAGGCTGGAGCCCTCTGCCGGCTGCGTGGGCGAAATGCGGTTCGGGCGCCCTGGCCCTTCGGAAAATGGCGAACCTCACGGGGATGGTGCCCCCCAGGAGAAGCTGAAGTCTCTGCCGGCTCTGTGGGCCAATTTTGGTTCTGGCGCCCTGGCCCCTCGGAAAGTGCCGACCCTCGCGGGGTTGGTGCTACTCTGGAGGGATTGGGACCCCCTGTCGGCCCTGCGAGCAAACTTTGGTTCGGGCGCCCTTGCCCGTTCAAAAAAAAACGACTCTCGCGGGGATGGTGCTCCTCCAGAGGGGCTGAAGCCCTCTGCCGGCTCTGTGCTCCAGTTGTGGCTCAGGCGCCCTGGCCCCTTCGAAAAATGGCGGCGCTGAAGCCCTCTGCCGTCTCTGTGGGCCAGTTCTGGATCGGGCGCCCTGCCCCTCGGAAAGTGGCGGCGCATAAGGATAATGCCCCCTCTTGAGGGACTGAAGCCCTCTGCCGGAACTGTGGGCCAGTTGTACTTCGGACGCCCCGGCCCTCGAGCAGCGCCGACCCTCGCGAGGATGCAGCCTCGGGCGCCCTGGCCCCTCAGGAAGTGGCGATGGTGCACTTCTGGAGGGGCTGGCGCCCTCTGCCGGCTCCGTGGGCAAATTGTGCTTCGCGCATTTAAATTTGGGGTCGACGTTGGTGCAGTGTATACTGACTCATCGCGGACCGCGCCTACGCTGCCGGTTTCGGCCACGACGGCCAGGGCAGCATCTCCGCGGGCGCTCTCGCTGCTAGCGCTGCTGGCGAGCGCGCCCGCGCCTGGGCGGCGCGAAGCACCGTATCCTTCTCGCGATAAGAATACGCACGCGCTGCGACCGCCGCATAACCACCCTTGCCTCCTTGCCCGTCAACCAGGCAATTGTTCATCTTCAGGTGGGCGTCTCGCAAAATTCGACCGGCCAGCCTGCGCCTGGCCTGGTCCGACCTGTCGGGGTTGGCTGGCCACCCTGGGCACTGCTTGGCCAGGCCCTCGGCGCGCTACCTCGCGTAGTGCCCGCGTCTGCGCAGACCGCGTAGCCGCGCATCTCCTTCGCGACGCGCACACGCCGCTGCGTCGCCTGAGCGCCCCCCGCCGCCGCCAAGCTCGAAAGGGGGGCGTGTGGCTAGCCCACTTCTGGCTATCTCCTCGGCTGCTTCTGGTTGCGGGTGGTGGTGGTGCTGCTGCTGCTGCTGCCGCTGCTGCTGCTGCTGCCTCTGCTGCCCCCCTCCGCCTGGCAGCCGCCGCCGCGCCGTCGCCCGCGGGTTGGCGTCGCCCTCTGTCTGTCTGGCTGGCCTCCGATCCTCGCCCCCGCCTTCGGCGCGATGCTTCTGGCGGCGGTGGCGCCTCGGCCCCCGCCGCCGCCGCGTCTGCAGCTGCCGCCACCGCGCAATCGCTCCCATCGCCAGGCTGGCGCGGGTCTGCGAAGGGTTTGCTTCCGAAGGCATCTCGTCGACGATGTCTATCGCGGAGTGGTTGGCCCCCCCTCGCATCTTCGCGGCGCCGACCTCCTTGTCGCCTCTTTCTCTGCCGCCTTCCCTCTTGGCAGCCCGCAGGAGGCGGGCCACTCTGGGCCCCCCCATGCCTCTTCGCTGCCTAGCTGGCGCGATGCCGCGCGACGGCACCGCCGGCGCCGCGCTGGCGGTTACTCCCGCCCTCTGTCTTTCCGCGCTGCCGCTCCTCGCCGTCGCCGCGGGCGACCGGCCGCGCGACGGCCCCGCGAGCTGGGCTTTGGCGGATCTTCTTGGCTTCTGACTGCCGCCTCCGCCATGGTCTGGCTGCCCCTCGCCGCCTAGTCTGCCGCCCTCGATGAAAATGCCAGGCCCCGAACTCGACGCAGTCGCGGAGCGCCTGCCACAGGCGGCGCGCCGGCCCAACTCCAACCCACGTCTCCGCGCGGGGCGCCGCGCGCGGGGCGGGCTTCACGCCGGCCCCCCCGCGCGGGATGCGTCGGCGCAAAGATCTCAATCTTCTCTGGGTCTGTGCGCGCGGCACCTGATGACAGGGGAGCTGGCGCAATCGACTTTGCAGCCGTCGCTGGTGTGTTGGAGTCCTCGTTTTCGCTGCCCCCCTCGGCCTCGGGGGGGTCAGGCTGGCGCAGCCAGACTGCGCTGCACACCTCCAGCGGCTGCCTGCTCCGGGGTTTGCACGGCCCTGCCGCCCTGCTGCTCTCCCGCCTTCCTGGAGACGGTCGGCCGCTCGTCCTCGTCGCCGCCCCGGTCGACGTAGCGCGCCGCACTGGACGCCCTGTTGCCGAGCAGCTCCATGGACTCGTTGCTCGCCCGCTCGAGCGCTCTCCGGCGACGAGGCTGTCGCCGCTTGCCAAACCCGCCCGGGTGTCGAGCTCGCTGCTCATCCGGAGGTGCTCGACCAATGCCTCCCTGCGACGCCTGCTCGAAGTCCGCGTCTCTGGGCCTGGCTCCTCGGCCAGCTGCCCCAGGGGGCCTTGGCCCCTCGCTGCCTCCACCGAGCCGCGGTGCGCGGGCAGCTGCGTCGCCCCCATGCGGCACGTGGTGCGACGCTCCATCTGCGACCGCTGTCCCGCCTCCACGTCGCCCACCTGGGGGGCTTAGTTCGCCGCCCTGCTCGCCGTGGCGGCGCAGAATCTGGTCTCTGCGTTCGCCCGCCGCCAGGGGGGCAGCCGGCCTCGCCACGTCGCTGGGCTCGCCCCCCTCGGCTTTCTCGAAGGGGAGGGGGGGGGGGGGGGGGGCGGCGCGGCCCCGGGTGCTGCTGCCGCGCGAGGACGGGGTCGTCGCCCTCCTCGTTCGCGACCCGGCGCGGGGGGACATGCAGGCAGCGCCGCGCCAGTCCCACTCTCGACCTGAATCGTTTCTTAGCTGTCCGTGTCCTCCTCGCTAGGCTGCATCATCCTCGCCGCGCGCCCCCCGCGATTGCGATTTCGCGGGGGCCGTCCGTTATTTTGACGTCCATCCTCCTCCGCGGCCCAGGTTTGCATGGACTGGCGCGCAGCCTCCAGCGCGCGGCCGCGTCGGTTGCCGTTCGCCTGCGCGCTCAGCAACGCAGAGCATTTCCGTGGATCTCCAGGTAGTGCTGCACCCAGGGGGGCGGCTGCTTGCCTCTGCTTGCTTGGGCCGCTTCTCCGCTGCCCTCGGCTGCATGTCGCCCCAATCGTCAATCCGCTCGTGCCGCCGGCCGATGCTGTGGAGCGCCCGCGTCACCTTGTGGCTCGCCTCCTCGATCGCCTGGTCCTTGCCGCAGCTCGCGTCCGGCTCCGCTGTCTGCTTCGCCAGGATGTCGACCTCCCGATCCCTGATCGCCGCTCTTTTTTCAAGCCCCTTTCAAACCTGCGATCGCCGCTGGCCAACTGTGCGCCTAACGGTGCTTCGCAGCCTCCACGGGGCACCTTGCGGCCCTCCATGCAGAACCAATTATGCCTGCAGATGTCCGCGTGGGCTCTCTTGGCTCTGACGCGCCGGCCCCGCCCGCGACGCAGCCGCAACGCGATTGCCAGGTGGTCTGTGAAGATGACGCACTGCTCGCACGCGCCCATGGCCCCTGCCCTGAATGTGCCTCAGCACCTGCAGGAAGCCCTAGAGCTCCGCCCTCTTGACGGTGCAATGCGTCGACGCGCCCACGGGCAGGGTGCCCCGCGCTTGCGCGATGGCCTTGCCCTCCGCGTGCGCTGACATGGCTGCCCGCCCCATCTGCGCCCGCGTCGAGCCGGCATGCGATCGCGCCTGTGAGCTCCACTTCCTGCGTGTCTATTCCCTCTCCTCTCCGTGGTCTGGCTGCGCTCGAGTCTCCAACCTGCTTCGCGAACTCTCGCCCTGCCCCCCTTCTGCGCGACCTCGGCCTTGGCCGACCTCCTTGTCAAACTGCGGTGTCCTGCCTCCTCGGGCCCCTCCTCGGCGGGCCCCCTGTCGAGGCCGCGTCCGGGCCTGAAAACGCAAGCCGCATCATCGTCGCAGCCCGTGCCGTTCCCCCCGAACCAGAGGTTCTGGTCTGGGCTCTCCTCCACTTGCCTGGCTGCTTCCTCTGCCCGGGTGGCGGTCGCCCCCTCGCGCCTCCCAGCGCGCCGCGCGGCTCCTCCATGGGCGGGGGGGCCCAGTCGGCCGCTGGATATCTCGGGGGGGCTCGCGTCAGGACCAGGCGGGGGGGCCCCTCCCCCGCCGCGCGCCGCTGCCTCCGCGAGGCCCCCGGGCGGCGCCGCGCCGCGCCCAGGCGCTTGAAGTAGCGGTGGCGGGCGGCGCCCATCTCCACGCAGCGCGCCTGGCACGCCAGGTCCACAGCAATGCCAGTCCTGCGAAGCTCAGCTTGAGTCCGTGGTCCGCGGGCCGCCGCCTGCCCTGCCGCGCGAGCTGCGCGCTGGCGCCACCTCGTACCTCGTCGGACTTCCTCGTCAGCCTGGCTACGATCGGCTCAGCGAGGGCCTCGGGGGCACGCTCTTGCTGTCCTTCTCCTTGGCGCCCTTCTCCAGTATGTCGAGTTCCAGGGCGAGCGCGAGCATCGCCTGCACGTCCACGGGGCAGACCTTGGCGAGGCGAAGGTCTGGGCCCGAGCGCGCGCGGTATACGCTCCATGAAGGCCGCGGCAAGCCTGCCCACCCCAGCGACATAATGCAAGCACCCGCCGAACTTCGCTCCATCCACCGCCGAGCTCCGCATCAACTTGCTGCCTGTGCCATGCCCAAGCCAGACTGGTAGGCTCCGCGGCCCCGCCCCGCGCCGCTGCCGCCCTCGCGATGGTCGGCGCCGCCGTCGCCTCGCCCGCGGCCCCCCCCCGCCCCCGCCCCCCCCCCCCCCCCCCCCCCCCCCCCCCCGCGGCCAACGTCAGCGACGGGGGCGCTCTCCCTACATGTCCTCGACCAGCCTCGACCACCGATCTCCTCAACTGCAACAGCTGCACTTCGCGCAGTCCAAAGCGCTTGGCGCATACATGTTGATCTCCGAGCTGAAGGTCGTCGACGCCCCCTTGGCCATGCGTCTGCCTTGCCTCCTCAGCCCTACGAGCCTCGCTGCGCGCCCTCGCAGAGTCTCCGCTCTCAGTCTCCTCTTCTGCCTGGCTGAATGGCGTGTCGTCGGCAGGTCGACCCCGAGATGGGCGCCCATGGCCTGCGCCTCTATGCCCCCCCCTCCTCATTGGCGAACCCAGGGTTGTTCTCTGCGTGGGGGCGTTGGCCAGCACGTGGCACTCATCGTCCTGGCCCATTGAAAAATCTTAATCCACCTGGCCGAATCCCTGGGCAGCCGCGCCGACCGCCTCCTCCGCCGCCTTCGCCAGCTCGCGCTGGGCCCCCCGCTGCCGGGCGCGCAGGTCGCCTATGCGCGACTTTCAATCGACGCGCGGGAAGCTGTGGGCCAGCTGACCCACGCCCTGCATCTGATGAATCTGAGGGAACGCCGCCGGGGACTTGCAGCCTGCCGCCGTCGCCGACCGCGTGACGACCTCGCCCGCATAACGACCCTCGACCGCCACGGCGCGCGCGGCGGCGAAGATGGGCGTCGCGATCGCCAGCGCAGGCCCACCGCGAGCCATATTGCCGCAGTTTTACCCAGGGCGCCGTCTCGAGCGCGTGGGCTATGTCCATGACTGCCGTGGTCGCCGTTTCCTCATGCGTGCCCACCCCCTTTGGGCCCGCGGCCTCGTGGGCTGCCCAGACCTCGAAAGCCGCTGCCTCGGCCCCCACCGCCCGTCGCGCGGCCTCTTTCCCTGGGGCGGCCCCCGCGTCGCTCCAGGCGGCGGGGGGCCCGCGACCGCTCCCGCGCGCGCGCCGGCGCGGGCGGCGCGCCGATCGCCCGACCCTTCCGGGGTGAAAAGCGCCGCGGCGCGGCCCGCTTGCCTCGGGCACGCCTGGGCGCGCTCGGCCGCCGCAATCGCGCCAGTGACGGACCGGGCGCCCTCTTCGGAGATGCTGCCCAGGGTGGGGGGGAGGGCGCCTGTCTGCTCCAATGCCCGAGCGTTGCTTCGGGCGCTTCGCCGCGTCCGTGACCGCCTGTGGCTCGTTTGGCTGGAGCTCCTCGCGCCCTGCGACGGCGGGGGTCGCTCGGCCGTCTCGCCGCGCATCAGCCCGCGCCGCCGAAGCCGCCGCCGCCCCGTCGGGGCGGGCTGCCTCGTCGAGATTCGCCGCTCTCCAGGGTTGCCGGACAGGGGGCCGACTTGGAGCGGCGATGCAGCCCCCCCCTCTCCCCGCGGTTCCCAACGCAGCGCTTGCCAACAGGTCCTTCCACTCGCTCGGGCTCAAACTGCGGCTCTTCCTGTCCGCGTTGTCCGCGCGTCCTTTCGCCTTCTCGGCCGCGCACTTGCCACAGGGCCGAGGCGCCCTTCGCCCGCGGCCAGCGCTCGCTGGCGTCGCACTTCGCCGCCGCCGCCCAGGGCCCCGAGCTTGCCACTCGCTTCTTCCGCCCTCGGCATGGCTCCCAAACCCCAGCGCTGCGCCTGCATGCCCGTCTTGCTGCGGGCCATCCAGGTTGCCCTGCGCGCGCTCCAACTGTCTCCGCCGCCGCCCTTATGCCTGGGCTGGGGCGCTGTTCCCCGAGGCTGGATTCGCCGCCATCTGGCGACGGGAGGTGGGCGGGTCATTCCCTCGACCGCGCTGCCCTCTCGGGCTGCGCGCCTCCTGCTCGATCCTTCGCGTGACCAGAGTCCGCGATTTTGCACTGGCGGCTCCTCCTGGCGGGCGCTGCGAGTGCACTGGCGGCTCCTCCTGGCCCCCGATGATGCGAAGCGGCATCCTCTTCGGGCGCCGGGGCGCCTTCTCCCGCGTCTCAGCCGACTGCCCTGCGCAGCGCTGTCGGCCACTCCTCGTCGACAAACGCGCTGTCCAGGCGCTTCTCCAGCGCCGCGCCCACCGCGAAGTAGTCGATGGTGCGCCCCTGCAAATGCCTGGGGAAGCAGCTTGGTACGCAATGGTGGCTTCTGCCAGCTGCAGGCCGCGGCTGCGCTGGCGCTCCTTCGGCGTCTGCTTGAAACCTCATCGAATGACCCGCGGCAGACCTGTCCTCCGCGGCCTCCCCAACACGCGGCTCCGCAGGTGCTCGTCGCGGTCAGTCAGGCCCTCGTGTGTCGACAGGTATACGATGGCAGCGATGAGCCCCCTGCCCATGGCCACCCATGCCATGGCCGCTCGGTTTTTGCTGCCCGGTGGGGAAATGCCCCACTCGGTGGCCGCATCTGGGTGTGCTATACCGATATGAGCCCGCACTGCCACCGCCACTCCAGTGTCCCCGCCTCTTAGCCGTCGTCCGTCATGGCTACTGCAAGCGCTGGCGCCAGCCTCCAGCGTTCCTTCTTCAAGGGCGCCTGCAGCACGGGGGGCGTGTCGCTGCGCAGCCTGGTCTCCTGCAGGGCAGGGCAGCAGCGCCCTTCCGCCTCCTCCTCCAGCAAGTCTGGCTCGATGCGTCCCCATCCTGAGCCATTGAAGGTCTAGGTATCGATAACGCATTTCTCAACCTTCTCGGTGCAATACCCCGGGTTGTGCCACAACGCCTGGGTCGGCTCGTGGTCCCGCATCGTTGTTGCGAACCCACACCATCCGCGCTGGCCCTGTCTCAACGTGCTGCGTGCTGTTGGGGGGAAGGCGCCCCTCTGCATCCTTTCAGGCAGTGATTGGTCCAGGGCGCGTCCGTTGGCGGCGTGCTTGTGGGGCGGGTGCCTATGGTCGTACCCCGCCGAACATGTCCAGGACGCGCCCCTTGGCGTCGTTACTCCTGCCTTGGCTGCCGTCCGGCTAGCTTGGTGTAAGGCCCTGTCCATTTGGCGGCTGGTCGCTTCCTTCAAACGCCTCATGCGCCAGCAGGCCTCCTGCGCCAGGCCACGCTGGCACCAGGGCGTCCTGCTTCAGGTACCGCGCCATCACGTTCCTCGCCTCAGGCACGTCGAACCCGAGCTTGTGCCCCTGGAGCATCAGGTACAAGAGGTACCCGCCGCACTCGCTTGGCGTGGTCCGCGAACGCCTCGTGCTGAGCCTCCATCCACCGCTTGTGTTTCTCAGGCTGGTCGACTGTGCTTGGCCGCTTGCTCTCGTCAACGCCAGCCCATTTTTTCTTCCGTGAGACCTGGTGTCGGCTCCTGGTCGAGGTCCATGCCTGCTGCTTTTGCCTCTGCTGCTGGCTCTTGACGTTTCGGACCAGCTGGTTCATGAGGAGGAGCACCGTCGTCTGCACCACATCGATTGCACAGCATCGCTTGCCATACATAGGCTACATAACAGACATTGCGCCACGTAAATAGCACTACATACGTTGTTCCATGTATACACCGCGTAGATGGTTGACCATCCACTGATCAAATAATTACCCACACATGATGTTGAACATAGGTTGTTCCACCTATATTGTTCCGCACAGCGTGCGCCACATAGACTGTTTTGGGGCTCACATCTGTTACACGCATATCGTTTGAACAAACACCAAGAAAGCTCCACATAGATTGTTCCACACATATTGCACCACGTATGCATATATCCGTATATATACATAGAACCACATCTATATGTATATATAAACATAGCTAGAACTTTACACATATGTGCATGTGCATGCATATACATACATACATACATACATACATACATACATACATACATACATACATACATACATACATACATACATAACACGACTGTGTATACACATATGCACATAAGTATACATATGTGTAAACTTATGTGCGGAAATGTATATACAAATGTGTACCAGCAAAAACGTCGATCCTGAACTCTCGAGCCTAGATCCTCTGCCTCCGGTTCTTCCCTCCACGCCCGCGACGGTGACGGCCTCTAGAGGCAAAACAGGGGCTAAGAACAGTTCGGTCCTCGACATCCGAACCTGGATACACGGTCCTCGACCACCGAATATGGATCATCTACCTCCCCGTCCTCCGTCCTCGCCTGCAGTGGGGGACGAGAGAGTCTGGGACCCCCAACATTCAGATGCCTCGATCTTTGAAATCGTCCGTGGGGAAAGGGGGCGATTCGAAGTTCGAGTCATCTCGAGCTTACATCTCTGCGGGGATCCCAGTCGCCAACGTCGTGATGTTCTGTCACCTCGTGGACTCCCAGAGCACAGATGACTGTACAGGTACCCCGGATGCTGAAAACTATCAACAATCGGTCGGCTGGATATTGTCAGGACGCAACAAAGTATCCTCATCCCTTTCTCCTCCACTTCCTCCTCCACTTCCTCCTCCTCCTCCTCCTCCTCCTCCTCCTCCTCCTCCTCCTCCTCCTCCTCTCTCCTTCTCTCTCCTTCTCTCTCATCCTCTATCCTTTCCTCCTCCACCTTCTCCTCCTGCTCCTGCTCTGCCTCCTCATCCTCGTCCTCCTCCTCCTTCTCCCCTTCCTCTTCTTTTTCTTATTGTTCTTATTATTCCTCCCTCTCCTCTTCCTTCCTCCTCGCTCCTCATCTCATTCTCGTTCCTCGTCTCTTTTCCTCCTCCACTCTCCTTTTCCTCCTCCTCCTCCTTCTCCTCCTCCGTTTCCTCCCTTTCCTCCTCTTCCCGATCCCCCTCCTCTTCTTCCTCCTCCTCCTCGTCTTCCCCCTCCTCCTCCTTCTCCTTTTCCTCCTCCTCCTCTTCCTCCTCCTCCTCCTCCTCCTCATCATCATCATCATCATCATCCTCTTCCTCCTCCTCCTCCGCCGCGTCCTTCTCCGCCGCCTCCTCCTACACCTCCTCCTCCGCCGCCGCCTCCTCCTCCCCCGTAAGTGCACAGTTGGCGCCACGAGGACTTGACCTGTGCCTGTGGCCAGGGCCCCCCCCGTCTGCCTTCCTTGCGCGCGCCCCGGCGGAGGTCCCCTGGAGGTCCTCCGGGGGCCCCCCGCGGCCTCCCGAGGCGACATGCACCAAGAGCCTCGACACCCCGACCCACGAACCCCGATCCGCGACCATCCTCCCGCAGGCGACGGGGGACGGCGGAAGGGTCTCGGACTCATCTTCCTCATCCCACGCATCCTCATCTTCCTCCTCCTCCGCCTTTTCTTCCTCCTCCTCCTCCGCCTCCTCCTCCTCTTCCTCCTCCTCGTCCTCCCCCTCCTCCTCCTCCTCCTCCTCCTCCTCCTCCTCCTCCTCCTCCTCCTCCTCCTCCTCCTCCCTCTACAGTTACTCAATATGAACACTACTAGTTACTCAATATGAATACTACTCTCCCTCTTCCCCTGATGGCGTGCTGGGAGTAGCCGACCCCCCCCCCGCGTACTGTTTTTTACACACAGGATTCCCGGGAGTTGGGTTTTCGCCTGCATTTTTGTTCGAAATGCTGCTCTCGTTTCGGGCCCCGCTCGTTCCGAATCGTGCTCCCGCTGCAGCGCTGGCCTCATTTCCGTGCTTCCGCTCGTTCCGAATCGTGCTCCCGCTGCAGCGCTGGCCTCATTTCCGCGCTTCCGCTCGTTTCGACTCGTGCTCCCGCTGCAGCGCTGGCGTCATTTCCCGTGTCATGCCACAGCACACGCGCACACACGGCACACACACACACACCACCACCACCACCACCACCACCACCACCACCACCACCACCTCCACCACCACCACCACCACCACCACCACCACCACCACCACCACCACCACCACCACCACCACCACCACCACAACCACAACCACAACCACAACCACAACCACAACCACAACCACGCACACACGCACGCACGCACCACGCACGCACGCACGCACGCACGCACGCGCACCACCACCCACTACGCACGCGCGCGCGGAGCCACAGGTCCGCTACGACACGCGTCCGCGGATAGAGAAAATCAGCGCCATGGTAAGGGATGGGAGGGAGGGGTAGGACGTCAGATATGACGCGAGCGCACCTAGCTTGTCGTCCTCCCGTCCTCTTCTCCTCCTCCTCCGCCTCCTCTTTTCCTCCTCGCCTCCTCCTCCTCCTCCTCCTCATCCTCCTCGTCCTCCCCCTCCTCCTCCTCCTCCTCCTCCTCCTCCTCCTCCTCTCCTCCTCCTCCTCCTCCTCCTCTCTTCCTCCTCCTCCTCCTCCTCCTCCCCCTCCTCCTCCATCTCCTCGTCCTCGTCCTCCTCCTACTCCTCCTCCCCCTCCTCCTCCTGCTCCTCGTCCTCCTCCTCTTCTTCCTCCGACGGCGGCGGCGGCGCCAACGACGAACTTGTCATCCTGCTCCTCCTCGTCAAGGGGTCCCCGTGGCCTTTCTCGCACGCGCTGATGGCGGCGTTGTAGCTGACGACGTCCGGCTCGAGCCCCTCACGCCTCGGTTCGATAAGAGAGGATGGAACGAGGCATGGGGGAGGAGAAGCAGGATGAGGAAAAGGAGGATGAGGAGGAGGGAGAAGGAAAAGGAGGAGGAAGAGGAGGAGGAAGAGGAGGGGGAGGAGAAGCAGGAGGAGCAGGAGGAGGAGGAAGATGAGGAGGTGGAGCAACAGCAGCAGCATGATGATATTCTTTCAACTAGCGCTAGCGCCTGCGGGCGGCCACATAAACAAGTGTAGCGGGGTTAATCGGAACCTGACGTCAACTCAAGATCGCCGCTGGCCTCCCCTGAAGCTTCAAGCCTGAAGTAGGCGCCTCGGAATCGAACAACTCACATGTCACTCCTGAGCGGACTTGGACAAACGAGTCGGCTGCTGGGTAGCGCATTGTTTCCTGAGCTTCTTGAAGTGGCCACCAAACAGGCTGGCAAAACAATGTATGCACACATGCAGCTTGGTCGAGTTCGAGCAGGAGAGAACCACAACCCCGCGCCCACATTCCTGCACAGTGAGCGCTGCAGGATGGGGCTGGCCAAAACACCCGGAGGAATCAGGCGTAGCGTCTTGCCTCTTGAATATGAGGTTGCCTGGGCACTTCCAAATGGATCCGAACCACCTCCAAGAGTGGGGATGGCGACGAAACTTCGGCCTCACGGGCCGAAGACACCGCAGGGGCTCGCGCAACGCCAGTTAGATCGAGCCGCGGCCAACAGGACATAAACGTGTGATCATGCTGACAAACAGACTTGGCGATACGAACTCGCCGATTGACAGACTGCGGCTCGAGATCAGGGAGAACACAACGGTGGGCGAAGGTTCCCCGCCGCCGCGCCTGTTTTTCACTCATGGGCAGAAGGTGCGCCGCTCAGAAGTTGGCGAACCCGTTGGCCTTCAGCCTCTGTAGCTGGAGGCTCTGGCCTTCTGGTGTCTCTGGAATGCCTGGGAATGCTCAATGTCATGAAACGGCTTGCCGTCAACGGGATGCAGACCATTGAGCAGCCTCTTGCGGGCCATATACCTTGAGCCACTCTTCGGTGGCCCTTTGCATTCCTCCAGAAGGCCTCTGAAAAACAAAAGTGGTATGATTGCCGCACCATGCACGAAAAACCAGCAGGCCATCCTCACAAGTGCCAGCAGAGAGGGCGTGTGAAGGGTGTACCTGTCTTAGGCGCTCACAGAACTCGCGCCCGTAAATGGGGTGCACGGTTCATTACGTCGCCTCAAGACAGCGTCGCCGGAGTGGCTCAAAGTGAAGCACGCCGCGCAACGCCACGCAACGTGCTCTGCTCTCTGCCAGTCCTGCACGAGCCGAAGCTGGGCCTTAAACTGCTGATCGGACTTACATGATCTCTCAAACCTGGGATGCCTAGGCCAAGCCTCGAGCACCCTCGGAATGAACTTCAGGATGCTAGCGGCGTCCTCTTTCATGTCCACCAACAACGACCACGCCGACGGGTCAAACGACGGGTGCATCTCGAGGGCCGACTTAGCAAACTGATCACACTTCTTGTTAATTTGAAATGGCAGCATATCTTCAGGGCGAACTTTGTCTTCGTCCTGATGCGCCTTGGCTTTCACAGCATCTTTGAGCAAATGTCTACTATCACTACCGAGCGCGGTGCGAAAAGTGCCTGCGCACATACTCCTATACGAAAGCCTGGCAGATAAAGGCTTGTGATACCCGTCAAGCACAGCCTTGCAATCAACATAAGCGGTATATTCTTGCGTAAGGATCTGTTGCAAAATCAAGAATCCCAAATGTTCAGCCGCCTGTGGGGTCTGCGACAAGGGGAAAACAACTGGGCGCCAGCTTTGGAAAACAGTTCAAATGCAATTAATCGTCTGGCTGAATAGTATGGGCCTTGATTTTAACTACGTCGGAGAAAAGAGTTGTCTGGGCACTCATGCTAAGGGACATCCCAGAGTAGGGCCTCCGATAGGAAGTCGGAGGAGCGAAAGCTTTGACCGCATTGTGACAATCATTGCAGGCTTTAGAGGGCCCCGACAGGAATGCGTTATAAGCTGAAACGGATCCAAATTCGCTAGCTTGGGACGTCTTGGGCAACTCAGCTCACGTGGGGCCAAACATAAAAACGCCATGGTTCCCATTGTCGCCGAACGCCGAAATGCCCCGCCCAGCCCTTGAAAAATCCGAAGCGCTGTCCGTGAAGGCTGAACCGTGACAACAAAACGCCCCTGGATCTCAGTTGCCCTCCAATCTGGGTCGTCGGCCCAAAGGAACTTCCACGCCTCCGCCGCGAGCGGGGCCAGGGGGCCGCCCCTACGGTGATGAAATATAGCAGTTGGAACCCATCCTGGCCCGGCTCTGCCTAGAGAGCCTCAGCGATGATCACTTGGGGAACGATCTCGAGCGCATCTGATTCGACAGCAGGGTGACGCCAGAGCCTGACAAAAGATAAAGTATCGCATCTGGACCGCCGATGCAAAGCGGCCAAGGGGATATCCCAGCTCACCAGCGCGCGAGCGCGACCAGATCGCGTCGCGACATACGGCCTTGACACAGCCCTTGGCGTAGGCCCCGAGCATCTGGCCGCGGGGAACGGCGCCTACCGCGTCGTAGCAGGCCCTGTTGGCAAAATCGAGCCTGCTCCCCGAGGTTCGCGGAAACTCGCGCCTCGCACCTTCTTGTAAGAGTCTCTTCACTAGCCTGGGGCAGGCTGAAGCTATGGTAACCTGGCAGTCTGACCTGTGCCCATCGCACTGGACACACACACAAACACAGTGGAGCACAAAAACACACACAGTGTGTTGAAACACGTACACACATAATTACACACGGTGGAACACACACAAACACACACACACACACAAACACAAACACACACACACACACACACACACGCACACGCACACGCACACGCACACGCACACGCACACGCACACGCACACACACACACACATCCACACTCATAGCCACACACAGACACAAACACACACTGAAACATAACACACTGTGTGTGTGTCTTTGTTCCACCGTGTTTTTTGTTTACAGTGTGTGTGTGTGTGTGTGTTTTTCCACGTGTGTCTGTTCTGTACCACGTGTTTTTTTGTGCATGTGTGTGCGCGTGTTTTTCGGTGTGCTTTCTGTTGCCTTCCACGGGCAGCATCAGACATTGGCCACCCACATAGCGAACGCCCCATCGCCACGATAGGGCCCGAGCACGACTCCCAGGAAGGACAGGCATCCTCAGAGGCAGAGGACCGCGCCCCTCGCAGCTGGGCGAAAAGGAAGAAGGACACCGGGCCCCATCCACGGGTTCGACCAGATCTCTCCAGCGCACCTGGCCACGGACTGAAGGGAACTGGCGTGGATCGCTCTCGAAGATGGAGGTTGAGGTTGCGGAGCGGAATCCAGGATCCGGATCCACGCGCGCTGTCCGAGGCCCTCCTCGAGTTCGCGAGCCCGTGGTCCGAGATCCCGTGGACCTCGATCCCGACAGTCGCCGCAGACGCCCCTCCCGAAACGAGCAGCTTCTCAGCGCCCCTCGTAAGGCAAAACAGGGCTAGGATCGGGATAAATCGCTCCAGAGCGTTCCGGAGCGCTCTCAGAGCGTTCCGGAACCCTCTGGAGCGGCCGCGGCGCCCAATACATCCTCCAAACCCGCCGATTCTCAGAGATTTCGAGTTATCCCGATCCGATTTTGTCCCGATCTTCGCGTCGTTTTATAAGGACGCCCCGAGAACGCCTGATTCTGCGAACCCTGCCCTTCGAGCGCCTCTGGCGCCCTGTAAGCTCGGCGCTCGTCTTGGGGGCGCCTGCGCGGCCTGCCCGCAGCGCCGCCCGCGCCCAACAGGAACGCGGCATCGGAAATGCCTCCCGAAGCGCCGAAGAGGTGTCGAAAAGGCTGGCCGGCAAGGGCACAGGGCCCGAACAAGGCAGCTGTCCACTGAGATGTCGTTGCACAGCTCGCGGCGAGTGATGCCCGCGTGTCCACGGCAGGGGCCCCCGGCAGTGCGAGCGAGCGTGGCGGAGCACGAGCGCCCCGCGATCATCCCCCAAGTTGGCCAAGTGCTGGCCGTCGACCACGCTGGAAAGGAAGACGAAGCGCGGGCCTCTATACAGTCATCGGCCTGACCTAAGGAAAGATAAAGAAGGAACGAAACCCCTTTTCTATCCCAAGGAATAACGCATAAGGAACGATAAAGAATAAATAACGCATAAGGAGCTGTAAATAACGCATGCAAATCTAAGGAACGACCGAGCCCCTTTTGAAAAGTAAGTGTTCTTTATTCAAGCCGCTCACTGTATGCCGCCACAGCGAGCCGAACCATTGCTTTCGGAAGCCCACCAAAGATCGGCCCTGACTAGACAGGGCGCCCAACCGCATGCGCCCGTAAAATGTGGAGGTCCCCCCAAAACTGACTGCCGCATCCTTCGCTCGCTCCTGACTGCTTGCTCCCGCGCGACGTCACTGGCGCCGCTGAAGGCTGGGGCAGCCAGGTAAGATCTGGGATGGGAAGCCTCCCAGGAAACGAACAGTGGGCGCCGAACTCGGCCCTGTAGACCAGTTGCGTTGAACAGTCCGATGGGTCGGAGGTATCCCGTCGGCTTCTCAAGCGGGATAAAGAGGAAAAGATCTGCACCTGCCTGGGGAGCACGATCGACCACTCCATGAGCGTGAGCAGGGAGGACATAACGAGCAGCAGAGCGTCGTGCAGCGTGACCAGATACCTGCAATGCAATCCATCTAGGCTGATGACTGAAAACTGCCTGCACGAGCGGGGGACCTCGCGAAACTTGTCTGAGGTAGTTGCTCCCAAGGGCTCCAGGCCAGGTGCTTCGCGGGCCTTCAGCTTCTGGAAACGACTTGCTCCCCCAGGGCCGCGAGAACCAGACTGAAGCGGACAAGGGTCGGAAACAGCTTGACGATCGGCAGGTCCCGCGGCTTCTGCTCCCTGGCCCACCACAACGCGCGGCGACCCCCCCTGCCGATGCCGCCGAGAATAACCGGGACCTCCATGCCTGTCTGGATGCGCTCTGGTCTTCAAGGCGCACTCCCCGAGCCCCCCGCCCTGACGCCCCACGACAGAAGAAGCCCTTTCCTCCAGAGTCAAACGCCCCTCCAGAGTGAGCCCTCCAGATTCAAACGCCCCTCCAGGAGAACTCCCCAGCGAGGGCAACGGTGCCCCGGGCGCCCTGGAAGCGCCCCCCCCCCCGACGGGACGGGCCCGCGGGGGTGCCGGAGGCCGCGCGGACGCAGGAAGCTCGCTGGGGAGCACGACCTGCGGCCGCTGGCCGCGGCAGGGGCGCGCCGCGCCTCTGCCGCGCCGCTGCCGCGCGCCTCGGCGACCAAACAGAACGTGGGGGGGGGATCGCCCCGGCGGCCCTGCCCTCGAAGCGCGCGGCAGCGGCCGGCGGGGACCCTTCGACCCCTGCCGGCTCGGCCCGGAGGCGGCGCGGCGCGTCAATCTTGACGCCGCGCGCCGCTCCGACGGGCGCCCGCTCCCGTCGGCTCGAGGCCGCGCCGCGCGCCGTCGAGGCCGGCGGGCGCGCCGGCGGGGGGGGTGGGCTGCGGACCGAGGGGCGGCTCCGCGCGGGCCTCGAGCATCCTCGCGAGAGCAGGGGCGAAGGGTGGGCGACGACCGAGGGCGACGACCGAGGGCGGCGCCGCCCTCGTTCGTCTCCCCCCTCCGCCGAGGCCCGCTGAGGCCCGCCGGCGCCGCAGAGGCGCCGCGAAGGAGTCCGTGGCCCAAGCGCCCCCCCGCGCTCGCGCAGGCCACCGGGGGGCGCCGCGGAAGCGCGCCGCGCTTCGGGGCCGAGGGGGGAGCGCGGCGCGGTCACCGCCGACCAAGGAAGGGCAACGGGGGAGAGAGAGAGAGAGAGAGGGAGAGAGAGAGAGAGAGAGAAACAAAAAAAAAGAGATGGGGATAGAGAGAGAGAGAGAAAGAGAGATACAGAGAGAGTAAAAGAGAGAGAGAGAGAGAAAGACAAAAAACATAAGATACGAAGGGAGAGAGAGAGAGAGAGAGCGATAGAGAGAGAGCGAGAGAGAGAGAGAGAGCGCGAGAGAGAGAGAGGGAGGGAGAGAGACAGAGCGACAGAGAGAGAGAGAGGAAACGACAGAAGAAGAAAGCCCATAAACAAAAAGAGACCGCTGCCGACGCTGGCCAACACGTGCAAGCTCTTCCAACCCAGCTCCCTCATGCCATGGGCGGAAACGCTGGCGACCGCTGCCGAGGCGCCTCCAGGGGCCTGGGGAACTGCCCGGACGGTGCGAGCCTCACTGATGGCGCGCCCTTCTGGAGGATGGCGGGCCCCGTGGGGCGGCCCGGCCAGGGCGGCCGCTCCGCCCGGGGGTGTCTGGCATCGGGGCAGAGACGCCCCTCCACCCGTTATTGAGGGCCCATTTGGATTAGGTCGGGCCTGTCCCCCTACAGGGGGATTGTGGACGAAAAAAAAAATGCCCCAAACAAATTCAAACCATATTCAAAAGTATCATAAAAATGGTCCCCAGAGTATTGTTTGACTGTTTTCCCCATGTCCTAAGATGGGGTTCTTGTTATTACTTGGACGCCTCCTACTTCTCCTCCTTCTCCTTCTCCTCCTTCTCCTCCTCATACCCAGACTTCCTCACACACACACATACTTCCTCACACTCAGATTTACTCATACCCAGACTTACTCAGACACAAAATTACTCATACTCAGACCAACTCATACTCAGACCTACTCCTACTCAGACTTACTCATGCTGAGACTCACGCACGCCCCGTTCGCGGCCGTTGTGTGGGGATGTCTCAAACGGGTTTGCCTGTTTGCTGTCCCAACATCCTTCGCTTTCGGAGCAGATTTGGAGGAAATCTCGAGCGAGGCGCTCATTTTCACGTCCCTAAAGGGAGCCGCCGAGGGGTACTGCACGGTCCAGTTCGCGGCCGTTTTGTGGGGATGTCTCCAGCGGTTTGCTTGTTTTCTGCCCCAACATCCTTCGCATTCGGAGCAGATTGAGAGGATGTCTCGAGCGAGGCGCTCATTTTCACGTCCCTAAGGGGAGCCGCCGAAGGGTATTGCACGGTCCCGTTCGCGGCCGTTTTGTGGGGATGTCTCAAGCGGTTTGCCTGTTTTCTGTCCCAACATCCTTCGTTGTCGGAGCAGATTTGGAGGATGTCTCGAGCGAGGCGCTCATTTTCACGTTCTTAAGGGGAGCCGCCGAGAGGTATTGCACGGTCCCGTTCGCGGCCGTTTTGTGGGGATGTCTCAAGCGGTTTGCCTCTTTTCTGTCTCAACATCCTTTGCATTCGGAGAGATTGGGAGGATGTCTCGAGCGAGGCGCTCATTTTCACGTCCCTAAGGGGAACCGCCGAAGGGTATTACACGGTCCCGTTCGCGGCCGTTTTGTGGGGATGTCTCAAGCGGTTTGCCTGTTTTCTGTCCCAACATCCTTCGCTTTCGGAGCAGATTTGGAGGATGTCTCCAGCGAGGCGCTCATTTTCACGTTTCTTAAGGGGGGTCGCCGAGGGGTATTGCACGGTCCCGCTCGCGGCCGTTTTGTGGGGATGTCTCAAGCGGTCTGTCCCAACATACTTCGCTTTCGGAGCAGATTTGGAGGAAATCTCGAGCGAGGCGCTCATTTTCCTCCTCCTCCTCCTCCTCCTCCTCCTCCTCTGCCCTCCTCACCGTGGGAGGAAACCCCGCCTCAGTTCGCCCAGCAGCTGCTGCGCCTGCTGCCAGCGCCCGCCTCTCGCGCAGGCGCTGACCGCGGCGTTGTAGCTGACGACGTCCAGCTGCAGCCCGCCCCGCCACGCCCCGCCGAGCAGCAACAAGGCCTGCTGCCACTCGCCCGACCTGGCGCAGGGCTGAACCTAAACGCTGTTTTTCGTTTCGTCTTCGTTTTGTTGTTGGTTTTGCTCTATCCGTTTTCCTGCCCCTCCCTCCCAAAACGAAACACAAAACACAGCCGCAGTCCAGCAAAATAGCGTTTAGGTCCAGCCCTGACCTGGCGCACGCGCTGACCGCGGCAGAGTGGCAGATGGTGCTCCGATCGAGCGCCGCCCGCCACAACTCGCCGAGCAGGAGCAGCGCCTGCTGCCACCGGCCGCACTTCTCGCACGCGCTGATCGCGGCGCCGTAGCTCACGACGTCCGCTTCGACTCTCGCCTCGCCGAAGTGGCCGAGCAGTGACAGTGCCTGCTGCCACTGCCTGCCTCTCCCACACGCGCTGATGGCAGCGTTGTAGCTAACTGGGGCTGCAAATGTGGACAGTCGTGCCCGAGAGCCCTACCCGCACGCGAGGGCGAGCATCGCTTGCTTGCTTCACCGCGTGCTTGCTTGCGGGGAACGGGTTCGCGTCGTGAAGACCCCAGCGCTGGCTTCTGGCACCGCGTGGATCTCTCAACCCTGAACGATCGGCGGCTGTCTGCTCGCCAGGTCATCCCAAATCTAGCCGATTCGGGGCCACCGGCGGCGCTCAACCTTGCCCGTCCGCGGCGGGGCCGCCGCCGCGCCCGCACGCTGCACACCCGCCGCAGATGCTTGCCCGTTGGTCTGCCAAGGCGTGGCCTGCGCTCCCGATGTCTGCATTGCCTCACAGATTGCCAGGTCCACGCGCTACCGCTCTCTGCCGATTGCTGCGGGGTGGTGTCGTGGTGCTGATGCTTGCTGCTGTCCGCTGGTTCCCGCCGCTATCAAGTGAGGTGGGATGTGCTGGTGCGTGCTGCCACTTACTGCGGCTTTCTGTGGCTGCGGGATGGTGCTTGTTGCCACAGGCCTGATGCTGCGTGCTGCTGCTCGCCTGCGCGCTGCTAACGTAGCGCTTGCACCCACATGCGAACGGCGCTAACAGACAGTAGCCCCACGGCGGCACCACCTTGGCTGGCCCCTGGGTCCCTTCTGACGTGTTGGGCACGGAACCCTCCTCACCGTTCCCTGGGCTCGCCAAAACTGTGGCAACTTTTGGGAGTCGATAGCTGCCGCGACTGAGGGCATAGATGACGTCTGGCTCCAATCTCCCGTGCGCGACTTCACCTATCAATGCCAGCGCTTGCTGCCACTGCCTCAATCTCGCGCATTCGCTGATGGCAGCGCTGGGAGTGGCAAGGCTTGACTTCATTCATTGGAAAGGATTCTCGCAAAGCGCCGCTGCCGCAGCGCGTTACTTGTGTCCATCCCCGCAGTCTTGGCTGGAAAACCATGCGAACTACGACGCTGGATCATTCGATCATCAATGGCCCAGGTGGAGAATACATAGCTGCGAGCGAAGTCGGGGCGGGGAGGATCCATACCCTAATGTGGAAAGGGATATGGGGACGTCAACTACACACCAACTGGAACCATCGCGCGCGCTCAGGTGTTACGTGCCTTGGAGATTCGCATTCAGCGGGGTAGAGCGGCCGCTGCATAACGAAAGGGCGCTGCGGGCTTGGCAGCGAGCGGTTTCGTCGCTGACGGCTCGAGCGGGTGCTCGGGCCAGAGCGAGGGGTGCACAACTACTGTTGTAGCCTGCAGCGCTGGCGGCCGCAAGCGCACCTGAAGCCGGCTCGGCGCGCCGAACTGGGACGCGCTACTGCGGGTGGAGAAGGAGCAGGCCCGCGGCGGCAGGAGGGGGAAGGAGGCCCCGAGAAGCAGAGAGCCTGCGGGTAGGGGAGCGCGCGGGCGGCCTTGGGCACCAGGAGCCAGTATACACCCCGCTAGTGCGTCTCAGTGCGAGCTGCCGACGGGGGAAAGCGACGGTGTCCATCGAGAGGCAAGCCATCAACGAATGCGGCGGACAGAATGTCGGAGAGTGCCAGGACCTCCCGAGGTCGTCGCCGAGGAACTGGCAATCCGGAAGGGGCCAAGCTTTGCTGGTGGCCTCCTGGAAGGGACTGACATGAGGAGCCAGACGAGTGTCCAGGGTGAACTGAACAAGAGGTGTGTAAGTACATACAAGTAAACATGCGTGTAAGCATGTACTTGCCCCCCCCTTACTGCCCCCTCCGCCCCCAAAAGAGCCCCAAGACGGTCCCGGAGGGCCGTCATGGATCTCTTTATCATGTGGAAAGGATCTTGCGGAAGTCATGAGATCTTGGGGAAGTCGTGGAGGCATCAGGGGACATCTTGGGTACCTCTGGGGATCTTTTGGGGGCCTTCGGGGGCCCCTTGGGGAAGTATTGAAGGAGTGGGCCTGTTGGGAGCCTTCGTCGGAGCATGTTGGGGGTCTTGGGGGCCGTCTTGAGGGGGAGAGCTCCAAAGTCCCCCTCTTGGGCCCCTCATGGGGGCATCTTGGGGGCCTCTTGGGCAGTCTTGGAGCCTTCTTGGGTTCCTCGTGGGTCGTCTTGGACGGTCTTGGAGGCCTCGTGATCTGCCTTGAGCGGTTGGCTAGACGGAAAAAAGTGAGAACGCTAAAATCCCTCGACGAAAACCTTTCTAGATAATCCCTGTGTTTGGCGTCTTGGGGCCTCGTTGGGCGTCCAAGGGGCCCCTCTTGGCACGTCGAGGGGGCTTCTTGGGCCGTCTCGAGGCAGTCCTGAGCCGTCTCGCAGTCCTCTGGGAGCCCCCCTGGAGGGCACCGGAGGATCTCAGGGGCTCCAGAGCCGAGGGCGAGGGGCGAGGGGCCGACACAAGGTCAGACGGACTTGGGACACCCGAAGTACAGTCAACCCGTACAGTCGGGGCGCTCACCTAAGGAGCCCTAGATAAGGATCGAGGCCCCTCTCTTTCCATTAGTACATCAACTTCGATTTCCCATCGACAACCTCAGGAAGACCTTCGGCAAGCTACGAAACATTTAAGAAGCACGGAAGCCCTCCCAAACGAAAAGGGCTCCTTCTCCGGCGCCCCGACTGTAAGGATGCAGTGGCCTTGGAAGGCCGTTTCGAAGCTTTGCGAGCGGGGCGCGGCCAGCGAAACTGGCCAAGGATGGGCCGAGGAGGCAACGATGCAAGGGTACCATTGGGAAGGTTGCCCATCCTTTCTGTGCGGGTTGACTGTAGATACGGGAGGCACGATGCCCAACAGCAAATGCTGTCCCAAACCGACAGCGGCCGCCGTTGGGCAGGCGGCCGTCTGTCTCAAATGGACAACGTCCGCGGCGGCGAGGACAGCAAGCCCTGGCCAAGATGAGCGGGAGCTGCTGGTTGGGCACCCCCTTCTTTCCGTACCCGTGCCGTTCGTGCCGACGGACGGCCCCACGCGAGCACGGCAGGTGGGCCCGAGCCAGGACGAGGACAAATTCGGGTGAGGATCAATCGGGAATCTCTGAGATCCCGCGGCTCTGGAGGATGCATCGGGCGCCGCGGGCCCGATCATAGCCTTTTCCATAACGCTCTGAGAGCGTTTCGGGAAACGTTCCCTCAACGGTTCTATCCTCGTCCTGGCCCCGTCCGAGCTGGGCCAGAGCCTTGATAGGCGGCGCGCCCGGGGGGAAAGTGAGAAGGGGCGGCCTTCTCAGAAGGCTCGGACGTCCCCGGGCCTTCTGAGAAGTTTTCTACGCCTGCCCCGCATACAGAAAAACTTCGCAGAAGGCGCGAGGGCTTCTGAGAAACCCCGCCGCCTTATGAGAAGGCCTTCTCCTTCTCACTTCCCCCCCTCCCCAGACCCCCGACGTCATGATCGGTTCATAACGTCGACCCTGGAGGTCTCGACCCATTCCCCGGGACCGGTTTTTCATCCTGGATCGTTTTTCGACGGTCCCGAGGCCCAGTACGGGCCCCCAGAGGCCGAAAATAGCATAACACCTCTGATGTTTTTTGCCGAAGATAGCCGAAAATAACAGAAAATAGCCAAAATAGCAAAATTGCCGAAAATAGCAGAAAGCCGCCTTGATGTTTTTTCTCATTGCGTTGGATCTCTGGGTCGCTCGCCGCCGAGGGACAGCCCGGAGGAGCCCAGAGGTCGACTACACGTTGGAGCGACCCTGAGCTAGAGGGGCCTTTTCTTGCGCGGGCTTGGGGGCGCCCGTGGGAACCCAACGCCAGTGCTCCTCCTCCTCCTCCTCCTCCTCCCCTTCTTCCTCCTCCTCCTCCTCCTCCTCCTCCTCCTCCTCCTCCTCCTCCTCCTCCTCCCCCCTCCTCGTGGGAACCCAACGCCATCGCGCAAGCCGGCGCCGCCGCGCCGCATCAGCGATCGGAGGGGCGCCGGCCGAAAGATGCTGCGTGCCAGCGGGCAGCCGCGGAACTCCGCCGAGCGAGCTCGAAAGCGCCCCGGCTGGCACTTCCGAAGGCGCTGCGGAAGCAGCCGCTGCCGGGGGCCACGGCGATGAGATCTGTAGGGCGACGAGATCTATGCAGATCCACTGCTCCTGGCCAGGCCCATCCTGGGCCCAGGAGCGGTGTATACGCCCTCCTGGCCTGGCCAGGGAGGCATCTACACAGCTCCTGGGCCCAGGATGGGCCTGGCCAGGAGCAGTGGATATGCATAGATCTCGTCGCCCTAATCTGGCGATGCCGGGCTGCATCGCGATGACGTCTGACCAGGCCCGGCGTCATGGCCGAGACCGGCCCCATCCGGAAGCCTGGGATATGTTTGACTATCGTTGGACAGCGTAAAATTAGAAGGATCCCCATTGGTTCGAAAACCACAGCCAAACAGGTGCACAGATATTCAAAAATATCAGAAGATACCCCAAAATATTCAAGCCAAACGTTTTGGGATTTGGACTGGGACTCGGGACTGGCCCTGGGCCGGACAACGCGCCGTTTGGTCGACTGGCTCTCCCCTTCGGGCAACCAGTGCAAGCTGTAGGGTGCGATACGCATTCGTTGCTGTCGATTACAAGGGGTGGGCCCAAACCTGGCGCGGTCAGATGCGAGCGTACTCACGCGATGCGGGTGCCGTCGCGGGGTCAAGCTCATTCCACGAGAAACATCACCCGACCCCCTTTCGGGCCAGCACCAAAGGTCACTCCGGCGAAGGGCCACTCTCACGTGCAGTCGAAGAGGGGCCTCCGCGGAGGTCCCTGGGGCAGGCGGCGCCACCCGGCTGGGCGCCCCCAGCGGCCTGCGGCAGCGGGGAACCGGGGGAGGGCCCCGGGGGGAATGCTCCGGCACGGTCGGGGCACTGGATGGGGAACCCTTGGCTGGGGAGTTCAGAGCCTACTGCTCCTCCTCCTGCCCCTCCTCCCCCTTCTCCTCCTCCCCCTCCTCCTCCTCCTCCTCCTCCTCCTCCTCCTCCTCCTCCTCCTCCTCCTCCTCCTCCTCCTCCTCCTCCTCCTCCTCCTCCTCCTCCTCCTCCTCCTCCTCCTCCTCCTCCTCCTCCCCGTCCTCCTCCTCCTCCCCCTCCTCGTCGTCGTCGTATTCAGGGTCGGCGGCACGGGCCGTAAGGCCTTCAGAGTCCAGGGTATGGAAGCCGATGGAACTCCAATCGTGGATTGGCCATGGATATGGCCGCCGCCCTCATCAGATGAGGAATCCCCCGAGGGTCTGAAGCCTCCTGGGCACAATTCCTTCACGAGCGCCCCCACTGTAAAGGAGAGATGCTGTGATCGACCAGGGTAGAGGTAGAGACCGCCTGAGGCTGTCGAATCTCCTGGAGCACTCAAGGGGCCCAAGGACACACAAATAAATACACACAAATAAAATGATTCCCCATATTTTCCCATATTTTCTGGGTTTTTGTCCTCCCGCCCAATTCCCATATTTTCCCATGTTTTCCTGGGAGTCGACGATTAATTGTGTCTGTGTGTTTTTTCCCCTCCTGAGACGTATACTTACATCTCTCACGGCTCTCCATTGGCACATTGCGGCTGTGGACTCTGGCCCCCTCACCAGGGCATGTCTGTTCTGAGGTACGTTTGGCCTCGCCCGATGTTGCCCTACCCACCCCATCATCGATCAACCGAGCGACCAGTCAGCCGACCGATCGGCCGACGCTTCCAGACATACGTGCGGGAGACGCCAGCGGAACGATGGGCTTCCCACACCGACCTGTCGACCGAAGTATCCACCGAACAGCCGGCCGACCAATCGATGCCGCTTCGACACTGGCCAATACACACCGACCGATCGACCTGACCTCACACCCACAAGACAGCCCTACTGTGCACGATAACTAGTATCGAAAGCCTACGGTCCAGCTGGGACCGAGAGACCCCAGGACCGTCTACACGTATTGCATGATCCTCCATGTCCTTGGCTTTACCCTTGGCGCTCGCTCCCTCGTCTGCCTGTGGCTGCCCAATGTTTCACACGATGCATCTCAAACCCCTGACTACGACAGCACGCGGTGACCACGATGGCAGATCGTACACATTTTGCTATGCTGCCCCCACCAACACTAATTACTGTTGCTGCATTCTGCCTCGGCTCAGCCGAGGCTCCCCACGCATGCTCGCTTCCCTCTGGGCGCCGGCACCGAGCGGCTCGGGCGAGCTCTCAGAGACTGACTGGCCGAGCCGACGCTGCTCTGCAGCAGGGACAGCGCCTCGTCCACGTCCACCTCCTGGACCTCCGAGGCCAGGCGAGCGCGGGCCACTGCCTCGGACAGCCGGATCAATGCTGTGAGCAAGCGTGGCGACGGCGCGGCAGCCCCAGCGGCGGCGCTCTCCGATCCCCGCGCTGCTTGGCGTAACCGCACGTAGCTGTCCTCCGGGGGTATCTGCTGCACCCGCCAGGTTTGGCTTAGGTCGGGCATGTCCTCCTACAGGGGGATTTTGGATGATAAATGTAAAACATTCAAAACAAACTGGAAAATAATCAAGAATAATAGAAAATGTCCCTTAGCATTTTTTTAACATATTTTGGGACATTCCTCCTGTAGAGGAACACGCCCGACCTAAGGCTTGGCCCTGCCCCCCCCCTCCGAGCAGGCCGGGCACACGCCCCAGAGCATGACGAAGCACTGCTCGCTGCTCTCTGCGACGAGCTCTGCACCAGTGCTGATGCCACGCGGGCCGGACGACCTCAAGCCCACATGGCCCTTGGGGCCTGGGCACAGGTGGCTTTACAGTGGAGGCCAGTCCACAAGAAACCTCCCACAAGAAACCCAGCCATGAGACCCCAGGGCGCCCACCGATTTTTGGTGCGGGAGCGCCGCGCTCTCTATCGCAAAACCGCTGATACCCAGGAAACCCAGGGGACCCTGTGCAATGCGGCCGGCAGAGAAGGAGGAGGAGGAGGAGGAGGAGGAGGAGG